CGGCGGACCCCCCGGCATCGGCGGTTGCCCAGGCACTTGAGGAGGCGGTCTCACCGGCGGCTGGACAGGGACCTGCTGCGCGGGAACTCCCGGTGCTTGCAGCGGAGGTCCCATCAGCGGTTGAGCAGGCATCGGCGGCGCGGGTGCAGGAGCAACTTGTAGCTGCGCGGCGTGTGCGTCAAGGAAATTAGCCATTCTAATGTCCATCATTCCCGGCAGACCTTCCATCACATCATGGAATGCCCGCAACAAGTCTCTCACCGAGTCTTCCAGTTCTGCTAGTCGTTCCCCGGTAGTTTCCTCCGGGATGGGTTCCCGAGGGCGGTAGTCCGGGGGTGGGTCATAGTCCTCTTCCGTTTGGAAGGCTCCGGTGCCCTCCTCCTCTTCTGCGTGGCCCCGCGGTCCCGACGGCTCGAACATCCACTCCTCGATGTCTTGCTTGGGACTCTCCTTCTCCGAGGTAGACCCTGGCTCCGGGAACAATCCCTTGTCAAATAGACTCTCACGTAATCCGCTCCCCCGACGGGAGTACACCTCACGGGTGCCCTGGGTGTTATACATAGTCCAATCATCCTGCTGGTGAGTCTTCCGCGGACCCCAATGCGAAGGGGTCGGAGGCGGCCAAGACAGATGTGCAGGCAGGCGGGGAATCGCTCCCCCCACGGCGCCCTCCAACGAGGATGCAGTCGTGAACACCACCGATGCGGAGGCTTGTGGGACCGATCCCGAGTCCCCCTCCGTGTTAGGTAGATTTCCCTCAATTCCGCTCATGATCTTGCCAGATTCGGAACGATAGGAAAAGGGAGTTCTAACAATATGTTGGATCCCCAAGCATCGAGAATAAATCCACGTTTTCAAAGAAAAGTAAAGTTTATTTCAAAGCGTTGAAGACATACTCAAACACGTTCTTTGTTAGAACTGGGGATACACAGTTAGGTCAAGCATACTAAAGGAACTTCAAACAGATGCAGATCCAATGAATAACTTTCCCGCTGGCGGGCTAAGGAAACGGTTGCGCGCCCAGTCTATGGGAACCAGGCAAAACATCAGACAAAACACAGGTGCAGCAGTCATGAGAAAATCAATAGGCAAGCATAGCAGTATCTTCTCCCCCACACAACCTCCAGCAGTTATCTTTTGCATTCCAACGCAGGAGCAGGATGATAGAAACCAACAGGGAAAGGATATGTACACAGAGGTCACAGAAAACAGAATGGCAGCTTGCTGACACATAAGCAATATTAGTATTAAGAAGGCTATATATGGAGATTGCCAGCAGTTGCACCAGTCATTGATATCACAGGAATTGTGGAGGCTGTACCCGTGTACCATCCAGAATTGCACTAGCATTTCCCCAACATGATTCCAAGATCCTATATGGCCAGGGAGCAGCCAGGTTGCCTTACATACAATGGAAGTAGTCTGTGTGAACAAGCACTTGATTTTCAACACTGGGAGGAGGGATGGAAGTAATTTAAATTTCTTCCTGGTGTTATCTCCATTGGTAAGCTAAAGCAGATGATGTGAAATACCAATTTGGCCACCTTCTTAACAGTGCTTTGTTCCAGCCCATACTGGTTTAATTTCACCTTTCATTTGGAGATATTAAGAGCAGAACTGCATGTTATGTGTAATTCTGTTAACCTCTCAACAAACCATTTTTCTTCCACCAAATGTAGTTGGTTGGGACTGCAGTTTCAAGAAGGCACAAGAAGAAATGGTACCCTTTCCCTGGTGCCTTTTTTTTTTTTTGCCACCACAATCCAACTGTTGGGTAAAACAGTGGGTATCTTTTCCACAGTGGAAGGTAAAAAAAGGTAATGGCTGATGGGGTTTGGTAGGAAAACAGTATGGTAGTAAGAGCCTAGAAGCATTTCTTCCACTTGTGGCAGTCCCTGTCTTAAAATGGCAGTCATAGTGGGTGCATTTGGTGAAAGAAAAAAAAGTTTGTTAAAAGGAACATGGAACTGATACAATTCCACCTTGAAAAGCAGGAAAGGGACTTAGGAGCCATTCTCTGTCATCCCTTCTCCTAGGGATGACAACAATCTTTTCAGACTAATGCGCAAATACACTTGTGCCAAAGACTATATCCCGTGTACAGAAATATAATTAACTTCTGCTGATTTTTTTTGCAGTCGCTCACAGAAAAGAATGCAGATGGTTTCAAATATCTCATTTTTTGCCATGTTCGTTATGTACTTCTTGACCGCCATTTTTGGCTATTTGACATTTTATGGTATGTAACCAATTTTTACCAGTGTGTATGGAATTTGAGGTTTCATTGTTGGTTCTTGTCACGGCTCAGGTGGGGTGTCACCTGACGCTGCCACCACTCTGGTTTTAGGATCCCTTGAGAAGGCCCAGAGCACCCTCCCAAGACTTTCAGACCTCCCTTATTTGGCCGAAAAATAGGCGTGAGGACCAGAGTAAACAACAAATAAAAGGTTTATTTTACAGGAGGTCAGTAAAATATAGGAAACAAACAAGGTGCAAGGACAATAATGATAAGCGGGTGAAGAGAAAAGAAACCAAATGCCCTAACGCGTCTAAACTTACTGTCCCTAGCTCACTGTCTCAAGTGGTCCTCAGTCTGCTCACCTTTCCTCTCAGGATGAGGGTCTCTTCCCTGCAGCAGCCTTCCTTCTGGCTCTGCTCTCTTGGAAGAAAGAACAGCTCTTCTTCTGTACCAGCTCTTTTGTTATAAATCCCCTTTCTCTGTGATTGGCTAAAATTGGCACCAAATTGGCCTCTTAGGGGCTTCTGGGAGTTGTAGGACTGTCCTCCTCCCACTGCTACACAGGCTCCCTGGGCCTGCTAGGCCTTGCTTGCACAGCCCAGATCATGACAGTTCTAGACAAGAAAATTAAAACAGAGATATTGGGGGTGGGGTGTTTAAAATTCCCATGTTACCTGCTTTATAGTTTTTGTTAAATGGAGAGTGCTTCCATCTGTGTCTCTGTCTCTCTCATGCCACACACATACACCCATACACACATGTACCCATGCTTAGAAGGTAATATCCAAGCTAGGAATTGTCTCCAGCCAGCTTTTTAACTGAGTCTTCCACAGCTCTTTTATGTACTGCAGCCCCCACCCCACGTGTGTTTTCTTCCTACAGCTCCCATGATTCTTGGCATAGTCTTTTTGAGTGGTCAAAAGTGACATGTCTTTTCTCTTTCACTAGCAGAAAAGCTGGCTGGATCCCACTCTAGGAAATCTGGAGGTTTATCTGAGCATGGAATTTCCCCTACCCTGGATGTTGCATTGATTTGTCTTATGTGTGAGCAGAAGAATGGGGAGGAAGTATATAGCCTAGAAAAACCAACCCCAGTCACAGCATACACTGCTAGGGAAGGCTCTATGCATGCCGGCTAGGGAAGGTTTCTGTGCTTGTTTGTAAGATTCTGTGACACCCACTCTAAGAACTGACTCACCTGCATTAGGCAAAGGGGACAGTGCTAAAAGGTACAATTAAAAGCCAGAGGTCCACAGCTTCTGCTGAAGGATAGTTTTCATGAAGGATATATCCCAGGTAGTGCCTGTTTGGTGCCCATTTAAGACCCTGTGGTGCCTTTGGACCTGACAGTATTTTTCAGGTGGCAGGCTTTGTAACTTAAGGATATCAGAGATGGGGGAAACTGCTGTATAGGCCCACAGATATTATATGGTATAAGCAGGAGAGTCCTATTCTTTAACCTTCTCCAAAGTTGTATTCATACTTCATAGCAACTGGAGGGGAGGGAGTCTTCAGCACTAGTACAAATCTGTGTCTCTGCCATAACGTTTGTGTATTGATTGATTCATTCATCTGTATCTTCCACTTCCTCCAAGGAACTCAGAACAGCATGTACTAGGGGGACTCTCATCCAGGTGCTGTTGGGCTGGCCATTTTTGAAAAGGCCTTTTGCAGAAGAGGAAAGGGTAACCAGAACTTTATGGTTCAAGAATAGATTCTCCCCCCCCCCCCTACTTTTGGAGTTTTATAGTTTAGAATAAACAACTATCATTTTATAATTTAGAACAGAAACAGAAAATAATATGTTGTACTATGTGGTTTTAAACAGTTAAAGAATCCAAAATGATAACTTAATAGATTTATTTTTAAAATGTCAGTATTTGTGTATTGTTTGATTGTGACCTTTTGGGTTTAATTGGAGCAGAGACAAATGCTCTTTTTTGGACTTTCTTTCCTGATGCTGAGCCAACCAGGTTAGCATCTCATTTCTATGTGGTTTCCTCAGAAATAAGCACCACTAAATTTAATGGGACTTGCTTCCAACCAGCAGTGCAATACTTAACAGTGTTACACCCTTCTAAGTTCATTGAAGTCAATGGCATTAGAAGAATGTAAGTCCACTTAGGGTATTACACTGTAGTTCCCCTGAATTTGAAGGGTCACTAGAGCCAGGTTTAAAATGTTGGTTTTGATCCAGCTTTTTTCCTTACTGGCCAGGGTGGGTTACATTAATCCCTTGTTGTTTAATAAGTTTCTTGCTAAATGACAGCATCTGTAAATTTGGCCCAGCTGCTGGAATAGTCCTCTCTGTGTCTTCCCTGCAGAAAGTGTGCAGTCAGATCTGCTCCACAAGTACCAGAGCAAAGACGACATCCTCGTCCTGACGGTCCGTGTAGCTGTCATTGTTGCAGTCATCCTCACAGTCCCAGTATTGTTTTTCACCGTAAGTTGGAGTCTCCTTTCCATTTGGAAACATCGGCTGGAGCTGAAAATATATTCCCAGTTCCTGGGTTCCAATACCAACATTCCATTTGCTTATGAGCAGTGGCAGCCATACCCATCCCATAATGTCTCCAATAGAAAATTCCATTTTTACCCAGTATAGTAAATCAGGCTTACCAAGGTATCTTCCCTAAAAAATAATGTTATTATAGCAATGTTTAAAGGGGGGGGGGTTCAAGTCCACAGAATTACAAAATAAAAGATTAAGACAACTAATGGGAACTCGCAGTTGCTAACCTTCATCAAACAATTGATACGGTGTAGACATAAGTTTCATTCAGGCATCACATATAACTGCTATTAAGGAAAAACATGCGTGCTGTGCTTCCCCCCCCCCCCCCGCAACGGGTGTCAGCCCAACTTCATTTAATGATATATGAATGCAGGTATGAAGGTTAACCAGAGTTAAGCCCACCACCACCACTAGCCAGAAGCCTAAACCAGTTTTTACTCCAGGCTTAGAATCCTAGTTAGCGGGGGAGGGGGAACTAACTTTAGTCAAACTGCTTGCCTGCCTTTGTGTGGAACAGGTAAGCAGAGTTAGTTTCTAAAACCGGATGTTCCATGCAAGAAGGGAATGGGGGAAGTAGTAAGTTTGTGTGCATGTTTCCTTAACTGTGGTGATATGTGACATCTGAATGCCATATACTATGGTTTGCCATTGCATCTTCTTTGTACACCAGACATTGCCTTTTAAAAACAAACGGGGGGGGGGGGGTGTCTTTGGGATCTTGCACTCCCTCCTTCCCTCATGGTCCCAGGATCCCCCAGGCATGTTTATGTAGCTATCTTTACATTGAACTGAACTACTTACTCCTAATACTGGCTCTCCAGAGGGGTTTCAGAGACTGATTTCCTTTGTCTTTCACCCAAGAGGAGACTGATGCAGCCACATTGCTCCTTCAACTAACTGCAGTTCACGTTGTGGGAATGCAGGAGCAATAGCTGTACTTCCTTGTTAATGTTAAAGTACTGAGCCAGGAGTGTCAGAACTTCTTGTAGGGCATCTGATAAAGGAGGGGACTGACTCTCTAAAGTTTATACTCTGAAAATCTTGTTAATTCCTAAGGTGCTATGGGGCTTGAGCTAGCTGTTCCTGTAGTTACTCTTAAGTCCTCACCAGGCCCATTGAGGATTATGGGCACCAATGCTTATAGTGTTGACTATAGAAATTCCAGGTGGGGAGGGAGGCAGGCTATAGGGGGCTCTTCAGATGAAATGCCAGAATTACAGTGCCATCTGAAACAGAACTACTAACCCATTGAATTTAATAGAATTAGAAGGGTATATGTCTGCTTAGGATGGCACTGTTTGTTTCTATGCCTTCCTAGCTGATAACACCCATCAGAGGCCTCATTCCATGCTACAGTATGGGCTGGAATAACTGTCAACAAGCAGAAACATTATCTATTTGAGTGCAGGAAAGTTTCCTCCCCTTCTTGTGTGTTTCCTCATAGGGAATCTGATTTGCTAAGCTCTTTGAGGGGAAGGACTAATTAAGTTAGACACTAGAACAAACAATGATAATAAAATGCCTGCTGCTGAAATAAAAAGCATCTGGAGGAAATGGACAGAGAGAGAGAGAGAGAGAGAGAGAGAGAGAGAGAGA